ATATATATATTCATGGTGTTATTGTATCTGAAAGCTGGGAATAATATGTAGATAAGATCGAGTTATTGTCAGAGGGTATTTGTGAGGAGGTGGACCTTAATACCTTTAATATCTAATATTTTTAAAAGCGTGAAGGAGAGAACTTCATCAAGAAAAGGGAAAAAAATCCAAACTCAAAGTTTACTAATATTGTTAGAGTTACACTATGGTTTTTCTTTTTAAACTCATAAATGTTAGATAACGGTCTTTTACACTTAAAGTATGGCTTTAATGAATAAAAATACAATCCCTACATGTGACATAACTTTAAAATCTCTTTCACACTTAATTAAACTATTATTTAGTTTTTGATCAATAAAATTGTCATCTCTAATAAAAGTGTGACTTTGTAACGGTAAGTGTTTGCCCACGGTTCACAATATATATTGCATCAAAGTGATAAATGACTAATAAATAATCTACTTCAGTTGGTTAGGCAGGTTACGTGAACTATATTATAAATTCCTTTATACGAAATGTATCTCATAAATAACAATAAAAGAGTAAGAAATGGCCTGAGCCTTTAAAGCCACCAGAATAAGACACGAGAAGTTTAAATTATTGTTTTTCCTTTCTCATCACTTTAAAGATATTAAAGCAATGAAGAAACACTTTATGACGATCCCAAATCTAATTTCAAGTGCCTTTTATCCTTTCACGTAACACTTTAATTTTGAATTAATTTAAGCATAAAAATTTAAGACTAAATTGAAATTTACCATTTAATATTTTTTAATAAAATTGATGGTTGTTATTCGAAGACCTTGTTGTCAATCCCAAAGCTCTTTGTCACCGTGTTCACTTTTCATTGGATGGTGGTGCTTTTAGGTTGAGTCAGTAGAAAAAACAAATGAGAAGTTCCACGCATAATTCGGGCAAATTAGAAATTATAACGAAACAATACGCGTGTGCAGGACAGGGTCTGTCAAACACGAAACCTTAATTTAGCATCTCTATGTGAAAGAATTTTGTAGCAGGACATGTTGGGGAGAATATTAAGCGAATTAATTGCTTCTTAAGAAAAACTAAATATTTTTTTTAGACTAAAAATATTTATTTAAGACATCTACTTATCTCAATAAATACGTATACATTAATTTTTTTATTGACAAATATTAATAATTAATTTGTTATATGAACGACGATATTCAAAGTCACTTCTTCCTTCTACTAGTTCTATATATTTTTCTAAACCACTAAAACACTACATAACTCGCATATATTTATGTTTAAGAAATAAAGGGTATATGAATGAAAAGTAGATGTGATTAGGTAGTGGTAATTTTGATATTACCTATGGAAAAGGGTAATGAGATTGAGAATGTGAAAGGTGAAAGGTGAAAGGTGAAAGGTGAAAGGTGAGTGAGTGGTGAAAATTTGGAGGGATTGTAAATTTGTAATAGCCACATATTTGTTGTGGATTCCATAGGCATAGGACGTTGTCCTACAATAGATGAGGAACCCATATTTTAGTGGGCCCCTGTCTTATTGATGGTTATTGGGTCATAGCCTCCATGTCGGTAGCATGCAGCTGTGCATGCGTCCAACATTCGCTTCAATTTTGGTGTGATAGTGAGAGAGAGGGGTCACAACTCACAACTCACAACTCACAACTCAGAAACCCTAACCGAGTTCAGTTTGGGTGTGGGCTTAGGTAGTGAGTGTTGAACTTTTTCTTTCTTTTATGAGACGTGATGGCGATGGAGACCATGGGGCCAACTGAGGTCTGACACGTGGCGGTGAAGAATCATGTGTGGGGCGGTGCAGCGGATGGAATGAGTGGCGGTGGCTTTTTTATCTGGAATGGAAGGAGTGGTGGTTGTACTAATAATACTTTTCTCCATCTTACAACTTTGACCTTTCACTCCTCCTCCTCCTCCTTCTTCTTCATTTCCAACACTCATAGTACAAACTCCCTTCATTTTATTTCCATGCATTGTGCCTCTCCTCACCCACAAAAATTTAATACAAATCCATCGTTCCTCTCATTAAATTATGCCAAAACATTTATCGATAGCCCTAGCTCCACATATTTTTCACCAACCAATTCACCTGAATTTTAAGTTTGAAATTTGATTTTTTTTTTTACCATGGTATTAGCATGAACATTCTCAAATTTTTTGAGAGACTAATTTTTCTTGGAATCTTAACTATATTAAAATTATCTCTTCTAACACTTTTTTTTACTAAATTTAAAGATTTGAATTCGAGATTTTGAAATTCAAAGACCAACTACAATATCAGATAAACTAATAATTAATCATCAACAAATTGAAATGTTTGTTATCATTTAATTAATTAAATGATATATCATCTAATTACATATGTGAGGATTTGTTTAGAAAGATATATAAAATTATTGGTCAATGATATTATAATATGTTCATAGAAGGAGTGCTAACAACACATTCTTGTTAATAAACTTATTTTTATTGGTTATAATTTATTGGAAATTATGATATTAAAAGAGAGTCGTTAAATGAATTGTGAGATCCAACAAATTATGTGATTTTCAAAAAATTTTAAGTTTCAACCAATTAGAGAGAATATGTTTAAATTAAAGAATGTGTTGTAAACGTTTCTTATATCCATAATGAGGAGGGTTAGCAACACACCCCTTTTAACACTCTCCCTTTTTATTAGTTAATTTTTTTGAAAATTACAAAATTAAGAGAAAGAATCATTAAATAAGATGTTGGATTCACCAAATTTTGTATTTTCAATTAATTTCAACCATTAAAAAATAGTGTGTTTAAAAGAGTATGATAGATAATATTGCTAGCATTTCTCATTCTTAATTTATTATAGATACACAATATATATTATTAATTTTATCATTAAAATTATTTATTTTATATGTTTTAAAATGAGCTATTTATTTTTAAAAAATTCAATATCTTTCCTAGAGTAAATAATGGAGCTGGTCTAGGAGATTTAGATAATATGTCCTAAAATTTAAACTTATTATTATTATAATATATAAAAAAATTCTCGCTTTCCTAGAGTCTATGCCTAGCAAAAGATGCACACGCGTTGTTTTCTTTTACGATAAATTGTGAAAAAATGTGTAATAGTTTTCGGACAAAAATAGGTTGAGAATTTTAAAATACCTAGCTATGATGTTATTTTAAAACTAGAATTTCACTTTGATAACTCTCCCACGGTAAAGACGTTTCTTAGAAATTAAAGAGCTCTTAAAAATTTAAAAGATATTATAATGTTTTTTTCACAAATTATATTAAGTTTGTTAATATATTAGTATTATATGACTTACATATCACTTTTAATTAATTTTTTTAAAAAATTATGTGCAAATGACATAATACAAATATGTTAACAAATTTAATGATGATTGTGAGTTGGAGAACAATGTAATATCATTTAAGTTTTTAAGGTTTCACTGTATGTTCGAAATACGAAAAGAGTATTGAGTGCAATTTCAAAAAAAAAAGATGAAAGGTGTGAATGTAATTTACTCTTTCTTTATGGAATGATCAAAACATCCTGAACCGAAAACAATTATAATAGCTATCGAATGATCTCATTTAACATGATTTACCGTGAAATGAAAAAAGGAGAGAATATTTGTAGGTAATTAAAAAATACATAATTATTTGTGACAATAATTTAAGTAGATTTAGAAGTAAATGAGAATAGGTCCTACACACACCAAAAACAACCTAATAATATAAGATGATTTATGTCAAAATCAAAAAAATGACAAAATACATCATTTAATTAATCATTTTTTAATCTTGTGTGCAAAAAAATATTTTTCATATTCGATTATGTATATCATAATTGAATATCAACTATTAAAATAACATGTTCGATTATAATATTAATTAACATATTTGATTATGTATGTACTAATTTCACTTTTTTTTTATTAAATCAATTTTAATTTATTTCCGTTCATTCTCTTCAATTTTCTCCCTCTCTATGCAAAGCATAAAAGAAAAAAAAAAAACAGAATAAATTTTGATATTATTTTAAAATATAAGAATCAATCCTATTTTACAAAATTAGTTAGTAAGGGATCATCATGAGTTGTCTTGTGCTTTACATATATTACCTTGTCTATAACTCAATTTCAATGGTGGGTGTAAGATTTGTAACACCCTCCCTTATGATTGAAGAGATCTTGTCTCTCCGAAAGTTAAATTATTATGATGAATTCCATGTGCAACTTTGATGGAGTAATAGCTGCTAACAAAAACTCATGATATAATGACTAGAGTCACGGAGATGAAGCACCTCAAAGGTATATATCTAACAAAGAGCTAGCACTGTACTCAATCATTTATCTTTTCTTACAAAACTCCTGTGCACTCACATGTGTTTAAACAGTGCATGAGCTTGTGGCTGTGCAAGAAAGAGCGATAGATATTATTGATAGGACATGGCTTTATTCTCAAGTAGGACGAGTTAAGCAGTGAATTAGTAGTTAAATTAGTGATGAAGTCGAAAGTTACAGGTCCATAATGCACAATATATATTAACTTTGAGAATGGCATTATAATTGCACTTAACGGTTGGTGCAAATACTCGTGTAAAATGTGGAATGATTCTTCAACACCATCATCATTCATCATTGCCTTCTTTAACATTAAAAGATGTAATATATACATCAATATCCGACAGATGCTTATCTTACAGCTGCTGCCCAAAAAGAATTTGATATAGATAGTCAAAGCCATGACATGTCAATTCTGCATGTACTGTTTTAAAGCATTTCTTGTCTCTTATTCGCATTACCCGACTTAGTTTTAGAATTTAGCCTCTTAGTTTTAGTTTTAGTTTTTTTTAATAATTATTTTTAAAGATACTAATATCCAAACACCTTCACTTACGTGATTAATTCAAAATGAATAAAGTAGGATTATGATGAGATGAACTCTTTGCAATTACATTCTCAAAAGCTCATATATATATATATATATATATATACTTATTAAATAATAAATTTATCTAAATTTACTTTACTAATTTTTTTTTATAGATTTAATCTATGTATTAAAATTTTTTAATTTAATAATTAAATTATTTAAATTTAATGTAAAATATGAGTTATTAAGTGAAATAAATTTATATAAATATATTCTTGGAGTAAATGAATTTTTTTTTAATGATTGGAGCGTTAAAATTTAACGTAAAATATAAATTATTAATTAAAATAAATTTATATAAATTTACTTTTAAAATAAATGAAACATTTTCACACAGTCCCCTGTACTTTGTTTCATAGTTTCAAATATCTTTTCTTCTGTTAATATTTTTTAAATAACGTTTATGTAACTCGTTTGTCGTTTATTTTTATTTTTAAGGTGCTTGTTCTAGACAATTAATTTTATTTAACAAGTATAATATATTTAGTTGTGATAACTAATGATGCACACTTTTGTTTATACATTTTCTTCATCATTTCAATTTTAACTTATTTTAATAGTTTTGTAAACTCTTTAAGGTTTTGATACTAAAGAAAACGAGCTTATTTAATTTGTATGGTATGAATTAAATATGTTAAAATAGTTTTTCAATAAACTTAAATAAAAATTTATTTTAATCATAACCTCAATTATATATAATTAATTATTAAAATAATTAATTATATTTGTTTCGGAGTATTATATTGCATTTCTAGGAATCATATTTCCATGAATATTTAAACCGAAATGTTATTTTCAAGTATATTTAGAAAATGTGTTTGGTTATACTCCAAATTTTAAAGCAAAAAATAATTAGAAAAGAAAATTATGTGTATTAAAATATAACTTCCAATATTTCTATAAGAATATCACAATTTTACACTCTCAACACAAGAATAAAAAAAATATATAATAGGAAGACATTCTCAAAAATAAACTATCATAATTTTTTAAAACTCATAACAAGAATGAAAATATTATATTCTCATCTTCATATTTTCGAAAATCAATTTTTAATTTGTGTAACAAACTTCCCTTAAAGAGATGTGAGTAGATGGTTTTAATGAGTGAGGAAATATTTCTTATTTCTTGTAACTTTTAAGTTGAAAAGAGTTTAAATTTGTCTAGAAAACTTAATATATATATATATATATATATGTATATATATATATTTATATATATTTATCTAAGATTGAATATTTATTGAGGCATATATGTAGACATAGTAAGAGTTATTATGTCTTCTAGAAAAAAAAAATAATAATAATAAAGAAAGTAAGAGTTATTACGTTTAGAAATTTTAGGATCTAAGGAATTTTTGTTTTCATACAATAATATAATTCATCAATATTCTTTTCGTTTTCTTCTTCTAACTTTTTTGAAAGATAAAATTGTTAATTAACATCTAATAATCAATAAATTTCAACATCTCATTTGATAGTAATTCTTTTAATCACTATCTTGCGACATAATTTATCACAAATTAAACCTACAAAAATTTCAACTTTAAAAATTTTATTTTTATAACGAAAATAATTACAAGTATTATTAGACAAATTTATTAAACATTTGCGACCTAATAACATGAAATGATCTAAGAAGTGATTCACAAGATGAATTACTAAAAAATAATACTAAATGAGATACGCCTACCGTGAATGATCTATAAGTATAATGCATGAACAACTCTCAGGTCAATCGAAGAAGAATATATATATACAATTTCCTTTACAATGAATGAACTAGTGCTGTACAACATATGAGACTTGCATGGCATATTGCCATATCAATTCTTCTGGTGAGATAAAGTACTGCTGTTCAATTCTGAACCGCGTTATTTGCAACGATTGCCACATACTTTCACAGTTACTCACCGCACTTTTCTTTTTTAACAAGAAGATTCTGCATAATCATTCCCTTTGTAAACTGTAGTTAATAGTCATAACATAAGTAATTAAAAACCATAACCATATTGTGTATTCTTTCCCCTTCAGTTTCTTTTCCATTGTGTTCAATCTTGACAACTCCTTTCACTCCAAGCCTATCTTCCACATTTCCCTTTAATTATTATTATTGGAAAGTCCTCTTTTGACATGAAAATCCATGAAATCTCACCCTTTGAGCCTCCAAACTAGCATACTTAATGATATACTTGAGGAGCAACATAAAACTCGCTCTCAATAACAGCTGGTCTTAGATCTTCCTCACGCATGAACTCCAAAGGAAAGGAAACAAGATGTCCCTTCACAGACTTCAACATATCTGTCGGGTCTATTGTTTTGGTTTCTCCATTCTCATGATAGACTAACTTATCAGGGGCTATTCCCAAATCTATGGTGGTATGTCCAAGTTTTTCTTTCCACTGAGCCATGTTTTGCCTAAGTGCAGCTCTGCATATCATTGGAATGCATAATACATCATAATAAAGGTTAGACTAGAAGTTAAAAGAGATAATCAGAAAACATAGAAGAAGAGTGGGAAAAATCCACACACCTTGAGTGTATCTGATCGTTGGGAATGCAAGCAAAGACCTCGTGGTATATCCTAGTATTTTCCTGTTACATTTATGATTTATATCAGTTTACATACCATACGAGTACAAGGGAAAATAACGTGTGTACCCCAAAAAACAATGTCAACATGTGACCGTATCATGCTCGTTTAAGAAAAATATTATTTTTTATTCGGCCTATATATCTTATCAACCACTGTGTTAGTCAAGAAAAAAGTTGGGCTCAATTATTAAAATTTAGGGGTTAAAGAAAGACCAAATTTCTTAACATCTGGATCGGCTAGGATATTGACGATAAACAATGCTGCTCTATAAGTTCCATAATTAAATCGAAGAGGAAATAAGCAGCAAACCAGTAAGAAAAAGTCTAACCTTTGCAGTTGCTGACCACAAGTCCTTGTAGGTTGTATTGGCCACCGGATCACTAATTTTACTGATCTGTTACGAGAAAGAGAATATTGTCAAGAGGACCTTTTCAAGTAATTAAGTAACATAAACAGATGAATATATCTATTCTGATAACAGACGAATAGGAAAACAGTGGTTATATAGTTAGTACGGTTGCTCATAGAAATTATGGTTGAGCAAACTAGAAAAGCAATTAGAGAAACAAAGGCCTAACAAAAGGAGACAAGGTTGAGCTTTTTGCCAACTCCTGGTTTTGATGGGGTCAACTGCAAGTGTGAAAACACGTGGTTGTGAGCCAATGCGTTGAGGGTCTAAACATTGGACAATGTTACTTATTTTACTCCATTTAATACAGTTGTAAGCTTGCAGAGGATTTCTTTTAAAGAGAATAATCCATTTGTGATGGGAACCTTGTGTCTTTGTTATTTACATGGTGTTCATGTGCTGCATTGTTGTGCCTACTTGTGTTTATTCTCGTTACTTTTGCGTGGAGGGTGTTATCGCTGTGCTGTGACATATTGTTGTAGCATAAAAGCCCGAATTTGATTATTTTGACTAACCTCTCCAGTACGAAGACCAAGATGCTCAGACCATAGGGAGCAGCGGAGGCTATAGGAAAATTTCCCAGCCTTCCATGGCTTTCCATTCATCAATGATTCAACATATTCTTTGTCTTCTATAAGCACTCCGATCTGGTTGGTGATAATAATTAATATTATTCTTAAAAATAACTTATATTAGACACAAAAGCAGATGTCAAATGTGTACCTCAGAGTCTCTCAGTCCAAGCAAACTACGGTCATTTATATTAGATGATCCAATAAAAGCTACACGGTCATCAATTATCATCAACTTACTGTGAACATATACCTGTATGAATACGGGAATTATACATCAAACAAGAAAAATATGTGTTGTTAAATCATTATAAGATCTAAAAATTGTGTACTGGACCTAGGAGATCCAAACTGCACTTTTTCAAGATCTCTTCGTGGCTCAGAGTGAAATATTTTATGTTCTAAAAACAAAACCAAAAGATGTTTCAATGTATATGATAAAATACCTGACTTGTGGCCACAGGGCCATTTTCATAAAGTCTACCATGAGATCTTAGGCCATAAAAAGAAATATAATCATGTGCCTTAGGACCAAGTATAGCTTCAAGATTGTGTAATATGGAGTGCTTTTCTCTAGAAATCGTTCTATACTGCCAATGTGTTAAGGCTCTCACAGTAGCAGCACCACCATCATCCAGACCACCCTGTTAATAGTTCACAACAGGAAAAAAGTTCAAGTGTACAGAAAAGAGGATTGATATTGTGAAAAGAAGGCAAGTAACATTTACCTGGAAGCCAGGCAAGAGGGGCATCACAACTATGACTCTAAAATCTTTCTGTTCTTTGTGGGCTAGCAAAATACGCCTGTAAAGTGCTTCCAAAATACGGTTCTGTATTATGTCATCCCCTGCTAGACCTGATATGAAAAATTGGTTCTGAATGGGAAACCAAATGAGAAAGAAAGACAAAGAGAACAGGGGGAAAATGAGTTTTTATTTAGGAAGATCACTGTGTATATATACGTTACATTTTGCTGCAATGCTAGACAGGAAATAGTTATCAACACTGAAGCAAGATATAGGCCAGTACAGTTCCTCAAAATTCATTTACCTCTATGTAGATAAAATGCTTTGCTTTTTCAATAAGAGAACAATATGCAGTTTGAATGCTTTCTTCAGGCTGACTTGTTCCAGCAGACCACTGGCTTACACTTCTGATTACCTGTGGATTTCACATAAATTATGATAGGTCACAAACTAAGATCTAATATGTTGTGCTAGATTCCGTGCATAAACAACTATTAATATGACTATATTGCCTAGTGATAAGGAGTTGGGGTAGTATGCATAAGATCTTAGATTCAAATACTAGTATCATCATAGTAATTCCAATGGATAAAAAAAAAACAAAAACAACAAAAAAAGCTCTTCCCAGAATTATTCCAGGAGCAAAATTTTCCAAATTTATTTTTATATAGTTTATACACCCTTTTCTGTTTTAAGCATATGGTTTCTAATAAAATTTATAGCCTTGCAATTGCACATGGCATATCATTTGCAAAATAAATATTCTTCACACCTTTGTTAACTTTTTTCCCTTAAAGAATTTACAGCAACTGTAGAATAATGTGGTATTTGTGATCTTATATTGGTACAATTTTCTACCAATAACTACTAGAGTCATATTTTACCAGTTCTAGTAGACCGTTCTAAGAAAGAGAAACTAATTATTCAAGAACTGGTGCAAATTTGAAAAACTACAAAGTTTACATAAAAGATCCAGAAGGACTCATAACTAACCTGACAATGACATGTACTACGTTGACCGACTTGTCCATATTCCAAAGTTGTGTCATCATTGGTGCCTTCTGGTGTTTCCCACCAATCATCAAGAGCATCGACAACAGATTGTGGCCCCAAGTTTAAAGGAACAACTTCATCTTGAAACCCTTTCATCTGGGTGTCTGAAACTAAAGTTACATGCTCCGGCTTTTGTGACAACAAAGGAGAATTTTCACTTAAATTTGTATGATCTCCATTTGAAGTACCTAGTCCATCAGCTTCTTGAGGCAAAAGTAGTGGTATATCTTGCATCGGAGACTCTGAGGAAAATGAATCCTGCCTCTCAATTCCATTCCTCTTGTCTTCATCTTTCTTTTGATCAATGTCTATCTCTTTGCTTCTTCCCATGTAATGAGGGATGACCATGTGATGATGAGGCATAAGTAGTGGAATAGCATGTTCATTTGGAGCTTTAGTTCTCTATGATATGCTTAACCATGTAAGATAGGACGCGAACAATAATTAAAAGAAACATGCAAGATAAAATAACATCATTTTGTATACCTTAGCATGGTTCCAACGTTGAACAAAGTGCCGAGCTATGTCACGACAGGGAGGTCCCCAAAGAGCACAATGGACATCATGCCATGGCATACGGGGATATTTCTTGCGATCCAATTCATCTCTCATTGTGTCTTCCCATGAATTTGGCTCAGATTCTCTATCAACAAACAAAAATTACAGAAATTATATAGGATTACTAATAACTTAGAAAAGTGCCAACTCATCAGCATCAGTGAAGCTCCAACATGGCTAAATGAAATACACATGACATGGCTAAATGCATTATAATGGACCCTATGGTGTTAAAGAACTTGGATCTTATATTGTAACATATCCACTGTTTCACAAAAAGGGTCCATATTCTTTAAAACAATCCAAATAGGAAAAGAAATACCTTGGATTGTAATAGTCCTTTCCAGGCCATGTTACAGAAGGGAAGTCACCCACTTTATGTTCTGGTGTGTCATATCGACCAAAGCATAAATCTAATCCTCCAATGTAGCAAATCTTGTAATCAATAATTACAAGTTTTTCATGGTGCGACCTGTAAGAAACCAAGCCAGTATTCATCATATACACATGAATAATGTCCCCCTAATTCATATTAAGATGATGTTCCAACTTCATTGATTAATAAATAGTACATACCATAAATACACACGAGCAGCAAAATGATCCGGATACCGCAATACCCTCACATTCTCATGAATTTTGAGCAGTCTTCTCATACTGTACAAGCTGTTGATTTTCAAAGCGAGAGAAACCTCCTTGTAGAGAAGCACATAGATCTGTAGAATCATTTAATGGCATAAGCATAATTCTCTTTATTGTAATTCAATCTTAAATGCAAACAAAATTGACTATATTGATGTGAATAGTATGTGTACCTGAACCCCTTGCTTAGCCTTTTCTTCTAGTATCGAATCTAACCGGGAGGTAGAAGAACTATGAAAAGGCCGTCTCAGATATAGCTCTGGGCACAGCCACCAACCTGTAATGAAGATCTGCAGCCAGTTTCCATTCTCTCAATACTAAAAATTGAATTAGGAAACCGAAACAACTTAACCATTCTTGGTTAACAATGGAAATGAGTACCTCCGACTTTGCATCTTGAATTGAAGTAGCAATTGCTTCAAATGCTGCCTGTCCGTCTACAAACCATTGGGCTTGGCTCCCATCTTCAGTCAAACCTCTTATGGGAGCAAAGGAACCAAAACGATGAGGACAACACCAACCCTCAAGAGGTCTTAGACTAGCTTCATTAATTGCAGTAACCCAAGATTTTACTCTAGCACTGCTGGTAGTTCTCAACAATATGCTCCTATTTCCACTAGTAACCTATTAATATTTTCAAACAATTTTTAATAAAATTTTGGAACCAAAACAGAAGGTTGTTATGCTGTTTTTTTCACTAAACTCTTCTTTGAGACCAAAACGCAATAGATTGCACTGTAATAAAGTTTGATGACAAAGGTTTATAATGGTTGACAATGACAAGAAAAGGAGAAAGTAAGCAGCTGGGAACATTATATGTCTGTAGAAGGTAACTCTTTGATCTTCTTTGTGCTTGAAAATTATCATTAGTTAATAGGAAATCTAAAAAGAATTACATCATCAGATTCAGAATTCAATATAGTTACTTTGACTGTCTGTAACAAAAAACAGGTGCAGCCCATAAGAGACTTAACCGTTTCTAATCTTCAAGCTCAAAAAGAATCTCTCAAGAGACAAAATTTGATTACCTTGAATGTGTAACGCAAAGGATTGCGTTCTTTCACAATATCAGCTAAATGTATTTTGCTACCTCCATTTGAGGAAGGGAGGATATCAAAAATAATTATATCCAGTGGTTTGTTGTTGAAGGGATCATCCAGGAAGGCCAAAAACCCAGGTTTCAAGACAGCCCATACCTGTGTGCAGACAACAGTTTCTAGATTAAAATTAAGATTAAATAAAATGAAAAGAAAAAAAAGGAACAGTTGTAGAAGACCATATATAACTATAAAGAGGGATTGCTACATCGGAGTTGTTATATATTTTAAATTTGCTCTGTAACTACATTTTATCAAATCATGTAAAATTAGGATTCATTAATGTTAACAAATTTCACTTGGACAAATTTACCAAGAGAATCCTAGACATAAATCATGCAATGCCAACCAACTGTTTTTTAAACTAAACGCTATCCAGCATCTATCATTGAATGCCTAACATAGGAGCATTCAGCCATGAAATTTGGTAATACGAATGATTTGATTACAAATATTCATAGTAAAGGTTGGGATTAACTGTATTTCACATGAAAATGTTCACTTATATTCCACTAAGACAATTAAAAATAAGAAGAAAAGTACTGAAGAGATGAAGGTATGAAAAATTTATATCCAAAGCTGAGAAAGTGTAGAGCATTTACAAATTTTGTAGTTAATGCTAAAAAAGAAAGCACTAAATCCAAATTCCTTGTTGGTTGGTTATATTATTTGATTTATTTCTGTTCACAAACTGCACCTGCATGTAACTTGGGGATAATATGCAGCCAAACAAACTAAACTATCCATTCTCACCAAAAATAAACTTCAGAACCCAACCTTTTTCCAGTTGTTATTCCAACAATGAAACCAATTGCATGGGAAGCATGATACATCTGAATCCTGTGAAACATTTGACAAATGCTTCACCATTACATATCCCTCTTTCAGTTTTGGACCATACTCCTGTAAGAAGGATAGCTTGGAGACTTCCAAAAACTTGCACACCTATAATCCAAAACCATATGTTAGGAAAAGTAATTTTTAGCTCTTTAAACGGTAATGAATCTTCATATAAATAAATCTGTCCGCAAAGCCAAAATCAGATAAAGTCCTTTAGTTGTATATAGAAGTGCAGAACACACCGAAGGAAAACTAGAGTTATGATGCATAAATTCTATAGAAGTAGGCACATTCTTGAACTGGACAATATATATATATATATATATAAATTTCAAATTTTCCCAAAAAAGTAAGAATTTGAAATTTCTCATATTTAATTTTCTTATTTCACCTATATATTTTATCTTATCTCTTCATTCTTTTAATTATTAAATATT